TGGGAGTGATGGTGGACAGTCGGCTGAATATGAGCCAGCAGTGTGCTCAGGTGGCCAAGAAGGCCAACAGCATCCTGGCTTGCATAAGAAACAGTGTGGCCAGCAGGGCTAGGGAAGTGATCGTCCCCCTGTACTCGGCTCTGGTGAGGCCGCACCTCGAGTACTGTGTTCAGTTTTGGGCCCCTCGCTACAAGAAGGTCATCGAGGTGCTTGAGTGGGTCCAGAGAAGGGCGACGAAGCTGGTGAGGGGCCTGGAGAACAAGTCCTACGAGGAGCGGCTGAAGGAGCTGGGCTTGTTCAGCCTGGAGAAGAGAAGGCTCAGGGGCGACCTTATTGCTCTCTACAGATACCTTAAAGGAGGCTGTAGAGAGGTGGGGGTTGGCCTGTTCTCCCACGTGCCTGGTGACAGGACGAGGGGGAACGGGCTTAAGTTGCGCCAGGGGAGTTTTAGGTTAGATGTTAGGAAGAACTACTTTACCGAAAGGGTTATTAGACACTGGAACAGGCTGCCCAGGGAAGTGGTGGAGTCACCATCCCTGGAAGTCTTTAAAAGACGTTTAGATGTAGAGCTTAGGGATATGGTTTAGTGGGGACTGTTAGCTGTGAGGTTGGACTCGATGATCTTGAGGTCTCTTCCAACCTAGAAATTCTGTGTGATTCTGTGTAATTATCTTCAGTAGCTAAAGTACTTGAAACTCTCAAATTACAGGATGAGAACATATATAATTCAAGAAGGTAAGACCTCTCAAAGTGCATTCTCTCTCTAAAATATCAAAACATACTCAGGACCTTTTCTAAAAACCGTGTCATCAGTTGTTTCATCACTTCTCTTAAGATTTACTCGTATGCTAGGAACAGAATACACAGTCAAGGCAGGAGGACTGGTCTTCAAGCACAGTCCACACAGAAACATACTCAGACATGCAAGTTGCACAATAGGTAGGGCAGTAGCAAAGGGGCCATGTAATCCTTAAGAACAAGTCAATGGACTAACAGTAACTCCTGTGCAACTTTCTTGCAAGTTTCTCCAGCTTTGCTGAAATCATTTTTCCCCTCTCTTTTTGAAGGGAATCAGTTCTCACTTTAATTTTATTTCAAAAAGTAATTTTTTTGGAGTAGTCAGCATATTTTAAGCCTTCCCACACTGTCAGTCTTATCTCTCTGCCTTGCAAATGTAAATAAAACTCAGATACTGAGAGCTCAAATTGCCTGAGGATGCTAGCATGCAGGATGTTCAGTGGAGAATTATACCTCATGATTCAGTCTTACACAAAGCGATCACCTACTTCTGCATGCATTTTTCAACACAATATGCATCTAGCAGTCAGTCTCTGTTCAGATTAGATTTTTGCAAAAGACCTCTATCATATGACAAATACGAATTTCACACTATTTGTTGCTTTCAAAAATTAAAAGCCAAGTGTAAAGGCAAATCAAGTTCTTTATCTTTCACCTGTAATGAGAGGAAGCATTACATGATTCTGAAAGAAGACCCTTTTCCTTTATTTGCTCTGAAATCAATAGCCACTTACCACTTCAGCTCCTGAAAACTACCATGAAATTCAGTACCAGCAGCTCCAGAAAAGCAACACAAACAGCCCTGAAATCCACATCTTACAGCCCTACCCAAACTAAGAGTGATGTGGACCAGAAACCTGCAGCAGTATCTAATGAACCAACCAGCTACAGATAATCTGAAACAGCTCACACTGTGTCTGTGGCTGGCTCTTCTATAACCAGTTTATGCCCAAACGACCGATTTTAAGAATTTCTCTCACACAACTCGTTTCCCCCCATTTACCTCTGTTTACTTTCAAATTTCACAGGTCATTTAAAGCAATTTTTTCCATCACAGAACTATGCAGAGCACTCCCAATTAAGTAAAGAATGCAATACCCTGAAAGTACTTCTCCCAAGTCTACATCAGCAGCAAACCCTCTATTGGAAGGTCTAAGAAGCATTACATTACTGTGGGCTGCAGCTATTACAGCTGGGACGGTATAAAGCCAACAAAATACTGTGGAAGCACTTCTGTCTGCGTGACTTTTTCTGTAAATCCTCTTGAGACATGCTAGTTTACTATGGCATAGAAGAAACTTTTTCTTTAACCTGAACTCTGTGTTTTTATAACTAGAAAGTGTATTATTCCCACAAAGGATATGTGTTGGGCAGTGAGGAGCAGAGAGAAGCAAAGATGATGACCTGAGCAGACAAATTAGGAATTTAAGCTAAAATCAGACATGTTATGCCTGTAAGCTTTTTTTTTTTTTTTTTTTTTGCCTAGTTACTGATTTCACAATTTCTGGCTCTGGATTTAATTATTTACTTGCATGAATGTTTTTAGCATTCCATTTCTTTTTACTGTATCTTTAAAGAATTCCATTTTTTTCCCTGATTTTTTAAGATAAAATAGTAGAGAAACTAAACTGATCTAATCAAGAACTAGCTACTATTCAGTTAGAGCCTCGTAAGGCATAAAAGGCTAAGAAGAAAAGAAATAATTGTGGTTAGCACTTTTTTGTGGGATCACAGTGAATCGATACCCAGAGTTTGTTTAAAGCAAGCAAAATTTTCCTCCACAGGATTCAATTAACTTGTATCCTGTACAAGAGAAGCTTATAGACATGGCTACCAAATTAAAATAGTATGTTTTTCATTAATGGACATGATAAGCAACTGCATATGATGAAGGGCTATGCTTGCTATTCATTTCTATTTAGGCCACTCCTCCCCTTTGATACCAAACAGGTATCAAAAAAGCAACTCTTTTTGACTATTAAGTGTTTTAGTCATTTCATTTCAGATGAATGAAGATCGTGATTGAATGAATACTACCCAAGATCTCTGCACATTTCAAGATTTCTGCTATTTTATTTAATTAAGCACTTACGAAGGTTCCTGTAAAGTCAGCTTGTACGTTCAAAGGAAAGAAACTCATCACAATGCATGCTTCAAGCAAATTATCATTCCTTTTCTTAATGGGCTGGTTGAGAGCACGTCAAATACTAGATGGATCTGCTTTCCAGCCAAGCTTCTCCTCCCCTTCCATCAGCACAGTGCTGTAACTCCATCTTCTCTTTGACAAAGAGCGAGATCAAACAGAGATCAGTTTTTTCAGTATTTCATTGCTATCACAACATAATTCAATAGCTAATAAAAGCAAATAAGCAGGTTAGGGACCTGCTAGCATAAACAGACAAAAGAATACAACTTCCCTGAAAGCTTACTCAGTACTTTGCTAGAGAAAACTCCTTAAAAAAATACATATATTTACTTTGAAAAAGCAGCACATTACTTTCACACAGCATAAAGCCATCTTCACAGTGAGCAGCATCTCTTAAGTTCATACCAACTACAGGGGAATCTGTCCTCAGACTGAACCACACAAGCACAGCAAGTCTTAACTTTTTCCTTACAAAATGCTACTTCACATGGAAAAAGGACCCACAGCCTAACGGGAAAGTGCACACAACAACCATCATCACACTCACGCTATGAATCAAAAGGCACACAGAAATGGACTGATCTCTTGAATTTCGCTTTTTGTAAATGAATGCATCTGGATTTTTTTCAAGTCTGTGCAAGAAAAAGGATGTCCCTATATATTTCCAAAGTGCACATAAAATGATTTGCTGTATAGCTTAATCATTCCTTATACTTAGCTTTAAATTGAACACCAGGTACATTTATACACTTCAGACGATCAAAGTCTAACCAGAACAGCACTTGTCTAAGAATGCATCAGAATCATAATTACTTCCATTATTATAGGCAATCGCATGCAGAGAATCTAAAACGCCAAAGTTAAAATACTCATTTTTAAGCTATACACCTAGATGCACAGCAGCTTTACACCACATTTGTACTTTTATCCCCCTCATTCCCAAAGACACTGTCAGAGGGGGAGTCAGCTGATGAAAACAACTGATCAAGAAGCCTGCCAAAACACCTAACTCTACAGGCATTTATTGGTAAAACTGTTGAGAGAACACAGATAGAAACACAGTCTGAATTACTCTCATTTGAAAGTTGCTTTCTAACTTTGCTCTTTTTTTTGCTCTCATATCCGATCTATAATGTGTCCACAGACAGCTCTCATCCATTTGCTCTTGTGCCAACGCTTTTTTTTTTTTTCAGATTTTTTTCAGCTTTCTGACATGCTCTTGGAATATGGCAGCATGTAACGCAGTGGTTCAATGAATACTTCAAACACCGTTAGCAAACATGACAACCAAAAAAAGAAGTCCCAGACCACTACTTTCAAGAGACACTTTTTCCACCCCCACGTTGTCTTCTCTTGTGCCAGCGTAGCTGTCTTCTGCAGATGCAAACTCTGAACCAACCAGAACATAAACAAGCTACCAAAACAAAGCTTACTTTTTTTTTTTTTTTTTTTTTGTCAAGGCAGTTCCCCGTTTCAGTTCACCACAGAACTGCCTCTCTTTTGCAGCTGGGAGTAGTGGAAAGGGGAGAACAGGCTGGCAGGTGAGAGGCGGCTGATACCGTCCATCAGACTGCAGCCTCAAAAACTCTTTCCATCAGCCTACCCAGCCAGGCTCCTCCAAATCACCCTTCTCTGAAACAGATCACCCAAGGACTATTGCATCCATTCCTGAAGTGACAGAATCAGAATCCATTCTTCTGAAAGATGCATCAGAATGCATTTATTAACGTATAATAATTAATACATTACAGAATTACTTTCATTGTACCCTTTCTTCCAAATCATCTCACTTTTGGGGCTTATCCTTGATCATACGCAGTTTTCTTTCCTCTTCCAGAGGTCTCCTAATGCTAATTCCCAAGCATACATGGTCATTATTCATTCCTACTGCATGCTTTCATGTCACCCCATTTCTGTCACACCAGCATTCAACATCATCCAGTTCTTGCATGATTCTTCAAATTTGGTCATCCCTGTTAGATTTTACTGTGTATGTGCTGCCACAGCCACTCATGATGCCCCAAAGTTGGTCTTGAGAAACACCACATGCAAGCACCTTTCACATCAGCAGTTCCTCTTCTGACAAATCTGTTGCTGCTTCCTCTTCTTCATATTGATCCTTACACAAGTTCTAGCTCTTGTACTAGTTCTCCAGCATCTCCACCTTAAAAAAACGATTTATTTTGTGTGATATGTTATCAAATTCCAGGCAGATTAAACCATATATATATGTATATATTTTTTACAGAGAAAAGTAATTCAATCATTAATTCTTATAAAAGATGCGGGTCAGCTAGCCATGATCTATCTTTAGTGAATCCACACAGGGCTCATTCCACTTATTTTCATACTGTTAATTAAATTCTTTCCTCTGCAAATTCTCCGGAGCCTTGCATACTACTGATGAAGCTCATCAGGGTATAGCTGTGCAGCTCCCTGCCTCCTGTTCTTTTAGGACATGTTTTCTTTATTTCAGTAACAAATCTGCCAAATCAGAGGTAGCAGATATTTAAGTCTTGCTCTTAGGGCTCCAGTTTCTTGGATCAGTTCTTCCTAAATTCTGGAACAAGTGATCTGCTTCCTTCAATCAACCCAACAGAATTTAAGTCTTTGCTTCCTCATCCCATCTTCACTTTCATGCTTGGTATCATTACTACTACAGGAAATGGAGACAAAGGATTTGTTTGAAGGTAATCCACATGATTCAAAAAAATAAATCTGCCTTCTGCATACTGACCTCCCTCACCCACTTCTTTTTATGTTTAGGTGACTGAAGACTGCTGCAGTTGGATTTCCTTCACAGAGTTTGGCTGTTTGTGGTCCTAACAATTTTCTCTACATTGCTGTGGTTCTTACCCCTGTGCCAGCTTCCCCTTCCCCCTCCCCACAGCAATCCTCCTCTGCAAATTCCCCAATTGCTTTCTTGAGATAGTTTTAAAAAACGACTTTGGCTCAAAGATCTTCCCATACAATTTCTAACAACACCTGAAAACTTACTTCTAAAAGCTTTTTACTGGCATCATGGTAAAATTCAGTGTTATCAATTTATGGGTTTGCTGTTGTATCAACCCCGCATAATATTACAAGAAAAGAAATACAGACTCCAGAAGAAAAACAGAAGCAACAAAAGCCACATGTACTTTTTTCTCCAACCTATGTTGTGTTTTTTTTTTTTTTTTTTTAACTGGCCAACAAGATGTGGGCATAAACGTGCTTCCTCCTACAGACCCCCAACTAATGTTCAACTCGTAACAGTCTCTGACAAGAAAGTGACTTGATAAATATTGTAAACCTTGCAACTAAGACGATCTAATTATATCTAGAAAGTGATCCTGCAAACATCCACATGCAAACAACCTCTGGGTGCCCTGAGAAGAAAGGATGCATTACAAAACCATGCAGACTCTCAGAAAACCAGATTTATTGCACTTAAGCTTCAGGCTCTGTGGTATGATCATTTGTTTTACATGTTACTATCCTGAGCTTGTTTAATTTACTGAAGCATTAACAAACACTACTTTAACCCTTTGGTACCTTGTACAAAATGACTTCAGGTCAAGCCAAATTCTCAGACAACAACCAGCAGATAGAACAACGTGCAATAATTTTTGCAAGTTTTGTAAAGACAGAATGCTCCAAGAAAAAGACTGGTCTGCCCTCTCCCACTTTCAAAAGAGCTTCAAGGAATGCTGAAATATGTTGCTGCTGTAGCAGTGCTATCTAAACCAATTCATTTGGTTCTCCAACAGCTGAAATGTATCAAACCACTTCAAAAAACACCATTCAAGAAAGCCGTAAGAAAAATCCTAGTGGGGAGCCATCCCCACTGAAACACAATCTTTAAGGCTTAGCTAATGAGAAAAAAGAAAGGGGATGGAAATACAAAGGGAAATAATATATTTATTTATATTTATGTTAAACAGATTCAGATTAACATTTCCTAATGTAAGTCAGAAGCTCAAGATACAAAATTCATTTTCGGTCACTCCAACAATGCTGGCTGCCACTTCACGTGCTATCTGCTTAGGAGAAAGGCTGCTAGGCTCGCCAACTCTCAGCAAGGCAAGTCCACCATTCTCTCTAACTGCTATGCTAATAACAAAGCAGCTATGTTTGGAGACCTAGCTGGTAATAAACCCGATTTCAAGGGTTGTTTGTCACTTAAGAAATGGAAAGTCCAAGTGTTCAAAGTTACCTTGGAACTTAACCACATTTAAGAAACAAACCAGCAGCCACATGACCAGAACAGTTATTCATCATTTTAAAGCTATGTGAATTTCTTAACATACCACTATTTCCCTAAGCAGAGTGCAGGATTTATTCAGGCTTCCAGAGTCATAAAACACTGACTGTCCCATCATAAAATACGTAATGACTCTAGAAGCCTGCTAAGATTTTTCTTTCAGAAAACAAATAATTAAAAAAAAAATCAAAAGCATAAAACAGCTATGAAATATAGGGCATTCTTCTACCTGACTTAAATTTTTTCTACCTTACTTTCCAGATGAAGCAGTCAAATATTTAAGAAAAATGGTGATGAGACAGGCAAAAATAATTATTTAAATTAAGTACAGATCTGTAACCCGGGCACATCAGGCTTACACAGAAGTTTATATAGAATTGTTTTACTCTACCAGCTCAAAACGGTACCACAAGCCTGGACTGCCAGCAAAAGGAGGGAGGGAACTTTTTTTTTTTTTTAAACCTTTTAGACACCTGACAATGAATGCATTAAACGGGTATGATTTGCAGTAGGTATCACAATTCCAGTCCCCTCCGAGCCTTCACATGAAATTAGCACAACTATTTAGCGTGAAAAACAATAAAAATAATTGAAGAAAGCAGGTGGAAGCCCCAAACTGCCGGCTGAGGGGCCGGGTGGCCCTGCAGCCCCCTGCCCGGCCCGGTCCTCTGGGCCTCCTGGGGCGGTGTGGGGCTTGTATGGGGCGATGCAGGGTGTGTGTGGGGAGAGCTGTAGGACTTCCCCTTTCCGGCCCTCACCCTGCCCCACGCCTGGCTCGGGCATTAAGCAGAGTCACGCAGGCGGCTCCCCCAGCGCCAACGGCCCCGAGGCAGAGGCTAAAGAACCAGCCCAAAACCCGACCCCAAAGCATGGCTGAAGGCAGCGGCACCCCCCCTCACCTGGCAGCCCTTCTTGTGGTGGAAGCCCACCACCACGATGTGCAGCACCGGGCCCCGCGGCGGCAGGGCGCCCCGCTTCTCCATGGAGCCCCGGCGATGGCCGCCCCGCAGGCTGCCGCCCAGGCCGGGCTCTCCGCTCCGCCTCCCGGCTCCCGGGGGCCGGCAGGGACAGGAACGGGGACCAGGACCCGGCCCCGGCCGCCTTCGCTTCCGCAGCGCCCGGCCGGGGAAGGCGGAGCGGCGCCGCCCTCGGCCCCCCGCGCCATGGCCGCCCCCGGGCGGAGGGAGGGGGCGGGCACCGCCTCACCTCAGCAGGCGGCCCCACGGAGCCCGCCGGCCCCCTCGAAGACGCGGTGGAGAAACAGCTTGATTCCGTTAAAATATCACTTCATTAAAATTTTATTTCAGTTTATTGAAAGTTAAGCATTTCTCCCAGCCCTTCTCTGGCCCCCAATACCTCTCTCTGGCTTCCCTCTCCTCTCAGTCAGCCCCCTGAGGAGCCCCCAACTCCCCCGCCAGCAGGGTCCAGCTCCTCTCTTTATTTAATTTTATTTATTTTTTCTCAAAGCCCCCTTGAAAGTGCAGAGTGCGGTGTATCCTCTGCCTCCATTGCTTCAAGCTGAAGCCGTGCAGATTAAGGGCAGGGCGAAATGGTGGCTGAGCAGGTTTTAATCCGCCTAGGTCAGCTCGGCTGCTGAAGGTCGGAAATGAGCAAAAGGGACGTTTCTGCTGTGACGCCCCTAAACATTTATTGCTGGATCCCGAGGGAGACACTTCAAAGACTTGTCCAGGAGCACACGCAAATGCAGTGTGAGAGAAAAATTAAAAATCTTTATCTCACTGCACCCAGGCCGCACTCCCTCATTAACCTTTCTTATGATTCAGCTCTGTTTATTCAAACCAACGGCGTTTGGTAGAGATCGTGCCCTTAGTAATTAAGATTCTCTGTGGAAATCAGAGGAAGATATCCTTTCTGAAGGAAGTATAAAAGAAGAGTGCTCAAAGAATATCTCATCGCTAACACAATACCCAGAGGCTCGAATTATAACAATAAAGCATGTAATTACGTATTGTTCCTCAGGTTCGGTAGCAGTTCCATTATATAAAACATACTTTAGGGAACAAAGGATAAACTACAAGGAACAATCCAGCACTGGCAAGCAAATGATTTCTTACTGGGTTTTATTCTGTAACTTATTTTCATGATGTTTAGTATACTTAGAAAAAAAAAAAAAAAAAGTATTAAATACTAGCCATTATCTCCTGCAGTAATGAGATATACCAAAAAAGATGCATGGGGGTACTATAGCTCCTACCTGGTTCATTGAAGAAAGAAAGGGCAGTCTGGCATCACTCTCACAGCTATGGATTTTGCATTCTAGAGGCATCTCAATGATACTGCTGAGTAATTGTGGCTTATTGCTTCTCTGAATATATTATTAGATTTTTTTTTCCCACTGCTTGAAATTTTCTTTCTCACCAAGGCCATAAAAATGTTAAACGTTGGACTGAAAACATCAGCTTGTTTCAGGAGAACTGATGTCTTTTTCACAGCTCACAGCGTGTATTTATGAAAAAGAAAGGAAGAGAGAACTGCAGTGACACAGACACTCTTAGAAATGCATTTCCAACAAACATCAATAGAAACTCAACCATACACATTGTTCTTTTCACTCGGTAATATTTACTTTATAACCACCAGCTTTAACCAACAGTAGTACAATAATCAGAATTTGATTGAAATATGAATTTCTGAATTTCATAACAGTAACGAGGAGTCGTCAGCTTCTTGAAGTGAACAAGGTTCACACAGGGTGTTTTATGTCCAGAAGCAACATCAGGCCTGAGCAGTGCCTGTGGCAGCTGGGAGATTCATTGTGCTTTTTAGCTATAGCCCAGCTTCCTGAAGGAAGAAATTGTGAATTTGTGGAGATGAGCTTATGTGTAAAAAAATAATAAATATTTTCAAATTTCTGTGTGAGAAAAGCATAAATGAATCATTGATTTGGGATTGAGGCTTGTAACTGATTTCTTGCTGATTGCAATCTCACTTCCTGTTTGGAAGTTTTTTGTTTGTTTGTTTTTTGTTTTTTTAATGTTAGGAAAAAGGAGTTGGAGAAGGCAGTGATCGTGGCACTGGGTGGGATCAGGATTTCCTGCTTGGAAACTTCTGTAAAATAAACAGGGAGAAACGACGAGGGAAGTAACAATTGGACAGAGATACGATGACTGTCTCAAAATGTAAGAATCTAGGTGGTTTTAACAAAAGTAGAAGCCTTAGGAATGCAAAAATAGAGGGAAATACCCATTAATTGTGATTCTGTGATTAAACAACAAGAGAACGAAAACCGAAGCGATCTTTTCCACTTTGTGAAACGCGTGACGAAAAAAAAAAAAAACACCTCAGCGTGAAGCGCCATCCGCCTTCCTTACGCACAGCAGCGCGTGACCATGGCGCTAATTAAGACAAACGCCAATTAGCAGAGCGACGAGCTTTGGGGCCGCGAACGACGGCTCCGCCGGCGGCTGCTCTCGCCTGGCGGCTGGCCCCGAGCAAGCGGCCCGCCCTGGGTGAGCCCCGCACTTCCGCGCGGGAGGCCGGCAGCGATTGGGCGGGCCTGGCGGCAAGATGGCGGCCAACGCCACCACCAACCCGTCGCAGCTCCTGCCGCTCGGTGAGCCCGGCCGCCGGCGTGGCGCTGCTGTGCCGCCCTCGGGCTGCTCTCGGGCTGCTGCTCCGTGCCCCTGATGCCGGCGGGGCGGGGGTGGCGGCGGCGGCGGCGGCTCTTGTGCCCTCCGCGGGGAGGCGGGGGCCGCTGTTGGGCTGCTGGGCGGGAGGTTTGAATGCGGCGGGGGCGGTTGGCGGGAGGGCGCCTCGGGGCCAGAAGGGCGTCGGGGACCTGGAGCGGGCCCTGGGAAGGGGCTGGGGCACTGCGAGGGGCGGCTGTGGTTGTTTAGTCTGGAGAAGAGGAGGCTCAGGGGAGACCTTACTGCTCTCTGCAACTATCTGAAGGGAAGGTGTGGGGAGCTGAGGGTCCGCCTCTTCTCACCAGCAATAGGACTAGAGGGAATGGCCTCAAGTTGTGCCAGGGGAAGTTCAGGTTGGAAATGAGGGGACATTTCTTCTCAGAAAGAGCAGTCAGGCACTGGGACGGGTTGCCCAGGGAGATGGTGGTGTCACCGTCCCTGGGGGTGTTCAAGGAAAGGTTGGACATGGTGCTTGGGGGCGTGGTTTAGTGGGTGACAGTAGTAGTAGGGGTATGGTTGGACCAGATGGTCTTGGGGGTCTTTACCAACCCTAATGATAGAGTCATGATTCTAGGACCTAGTTAAATATACACCAGTAACAATAAAGTGTCTTCACTAATGTGAATGTACGTGCACTATTCCAGTCTATCAACTTAAAAATCTATTTATGCGATAGTAGTAATGTGTGCAAGGAAATAGCTTTTTTTTTTTTTTTTCCACTTTATATGCATATTTCTCTGTGTGAATGTATTTTATTAGTGTCCCTGTGAATTAGCTTTTGGCCATCATGATGGTAGGATTTTTGTCTTAAAAGTTTGCTTAAACTCTGCATTTCTTCTTTTTTTAATTTACAGAACTTGTGGATAAATGTATAGGCTCTCGCATTCACATCGTGATGAAGAGTGATAAAGAAATCGTTGGAACGCTTCTAGGATTTGATGATTTTGTCAGTATCCTTTGGATACTTTGACTCTCCTCTTGAGAGTCATCATGTGGCACTTGAAGGGCAAGCAGGCGATCAGGCCCAGTTAGCATGGGTTTATGGAAGGCAGATCCTGCTTGACGAACCTGATCTCCTTCTATGACAAAGGGACGCGCTGGGTGGACGAGGCTGTGGATGTGGTCTACCTTGACTTCAGCAAGGCATTTGACACCGTCTCCCACAGCATTCTCCTCAAGAAACTGGCTGCTCTTGACTCTGACTGGCACACGCTTCGTTGGGTTAAAAACTGGCTGGATAGCTGGGCCCAAAGAGTCGTGGTAAATGGAGTCAAGTCCAGTTGGAGGCCAGTCACTAGTGGCGTCCCCCAGGGCTCGGTGCTGGGGCTGGTCCTCTTTAATATCTTCATCAGTGATCTGGACGAGGGCATTGAGTGCACCCTCAGTAAGTTTGCAGATGACACCAAGCTAGGCACGTGTGTCTATCTGCTCGAGGGTAGGAAAGCTCTGCAGGAGGATCTGGATAGGCTGCACCGATGGGCTGAGGTCAACTGCATGAAGTTCAACAAGGCCAAGTGCCGGGTCCTGCACCTGGGGCACAACAACCCCAAGCAGAGCTACAGGCTGGGAGATGAGTGGTTGGAGAGCTGCCAGGCAGAGAAGGACCTGGGAGTGATGGTGGACAGTCGGCTGAATATGAGCCAGCAGTGTGCTCAGGTGGCCAAGAAGGCCAACGGCATCCTGGCTTGTATCAGAAACAGTGTGACCAGCAGGGCTAGGGAGGTGATCGTCCCCCTGTACTCGGCTCTGGTGAGGCCGCACCTCGAGTACTGTGTTCAGTTTTGGGCCCCTAGCTACAAGAAGGACATCGAGGTGCTTGAGTGGGTCCAGAGAAGGGCGACGAAGCTGGTGAGGGGCCTGGAGAACAAGTCCTACGAGGAGCGGCTGAAGGAGCTGGGCTTGTTCAGCCTGGAGAAGAGGAGGCTCAGGGGCGACCTTATTGCTCTCTACAGGTACCTTAAAGGAGGCTGTAGTGAGGTGGGGGTTGGCCTTTTCTCCCACGTGCCTGGTGACAGGACGAGGGGGAATGGGCTAAAGTTGTGCCAGGGGAGTTTTAGGTTAGATGTTAGGAAGAACTTCTTTACCGAAAGGGTTGTTAGACACTGGAACAGGCTGCCCAGGGAAGTGGTGGAGTCACCATCCCTGGAAGTCTTTAAAAGACGTTTAGATGTAGAGCTTAGGGATATGGTTTAGTGGGGACTGTTAGTGTTAGGTCAGAGGTTGGACTCGATGATCTTGAGGTCTCTTCCAACCTAGAAATTCTGTGATTCTGTCATAGGTTTAAAACCATCAACTATATGCTTAAGCTCAATTAATTTATTGTCTTTGGAAGTATTGAGTTTGTTGGGTAGAACCCTTTTGTATGGATTAAGTGTATTCTGATATTTTATTTTCCAGATTAAAATTTATAATTTAGTGTAAAATGAAAATAATTAAGTATGTTGACTTAAAAATTTTGTGCCTTATTTTCCTTGAAACTGGACCTTCAGATATGGTGTTAGAAGATGTTACAGAATTGTAAGTATTATTTTTATGTCTTGTTGCTATTAAAACTTTGGTTTCATGAGGAAAAAATATGGTAAAAGATCTGTGAACCGAGTATTCATTTTTCATGAAGATTTGCAAACTGAGAAGTTTATATCTCAGACTTGATCTGTAGAGGGTGACCTTTTCAGGACAACTATGTCATAGAGCAGTTTTTGCATGATTTATCGCAGTGGATGCTTCTAATCAAGTTCCTAATTTGTAGCATTAATTTAACATAGGTTCTATGTTGATCTCTCTAGCAGTTTATTTGCTTGTTTGTTTTTGCATTTCCTTAATGTCTAAAGATTTTAAAAGTTAGCAGATGTGTTTTACGTTGTCACGCAGTGTTGCTGTTTGAAACCTATTTTGAGTATCAGTGGTATTGAAGAAATTGCCAAGGTTTAGAGGGTAAAACTATATGGTTTTTTGCGCTGAGCAGAGAAGTTCAACAGATCTATTTAGTTGTCTAGTAGCTTTCTCTGTCTAGGTGGTCAGTGTATCAAGATAACACTGAAGAACAAATAGCTTATTTGTTACTTCCAGTAAATGCCACCTTAATGTGTAGATTTGTGCCATTACTCTAATCAAAGCTGTTGTCACTCTTAATAATATTCTCTTGTTTACTGCTTCTGTTGTTACTTCAGTGAGATTACACCTGAGGGCAGAAGAATCACAAAACTAGACCAGATTTTGCTAAATGGAAATAACATAACAATGGTAAGTTTTCATTGTAAAAAGGCTGCATGTGTCTCTTTTCTGTTCCTGTTCATCAGTGATTGAAGTCAACTACTTGAGCTACTTCAGGTAGCTTCCAGAGCATTTATGTATATGAATGATGATGGAGAAGTGATCGCATTGTCATACTTTGTACGTTTTACAGTTTAAAATGGATGGAAGGAGGAGCGTGACCATAATTTTATTTTGGTCAATTCTTTTCTGGTCTTTTGGTGTGGGATCACTTTGGCTTTGGAACAAGCTGGTTGCCACAGTGACTTCTAAACCATGAGTGTCTACCTCCATAAGTATGTGGGGTGGGATACATCTACATCTCATCCATTATTTTGTCTGTAAGGTAACGTCTTTGCAGCAGTTCAGATACTTAAAAGCTTGCTAAGTCAGTTGGCCGTTGTGATGCCATGTGATGCCCAGAGAACTGTACCTTAATACGCTCTGGAAAAAAAAAAATAATCTGCAGGTTTGCTGGACTATACCAAATCAGAAGTGCTGGTTTTTGTTCATCACTTGCTGATGTGTGTAAATCAGTACTAAAATAGGAATATTGTGATTATGCATCACTAACTGGATTCTGCAGCTTCATAGATACTTTACAACAAAAGCAAACCCATGGTGTTTTTTTGCTTACATGCATTGATAACTATCAAATCTGGACTTCTTACATGAGGGCATTCCTAATTTTGAGGGTAGAGAAAGACAGACTTGAGTCTGTCTGCTCTGTGTGAGTGGGGAATAATATCCATATTGTTGTCCTACTTGCCTCACACCTTCTTAGTGTGTCTGAGCAAATGCTATCTTAATTTCAAAGTAAAAAAAAGACTTAGAAATTGTTGTTGTTCTGCATCCTTAAACTGCTGTGCATATTCTGACTTCTTGTATGGGGAGGAATAATTACCAACCAGTTGATCTGGTGGTATATTGCCCTTGAAGCAGAAGCTTATGATTCTTAGTGTGCACATAGTCAGCAAGGTCCAAACATATTTCTGTATGAGGGCTCTTGTGCCTCTTAAGGGCACGTCTTCCCTCAAGAAAACCGGTGCTTTAAGCTTCTTACTTCTGTCCCCAAAACACCAGAGGTCTTCGTATTTTAGAAGGGCTCAGCTGGTTATTAAGAAATTAAAAGTAAAATTAATGTTAGATGTTTTTCCCCCTTTACCTTTATTCATATTTTTTTCCATATGAATTTACTCTTCTATTGAGTTCTTTACTTTATTCATGGGAAGTTGCTATGCTGACTTATTTCACGCTGTCTGTAGAAGGGTTCAGACTCTTTACAAGTTTTTCAAGCTTTGATTAGCCATGAAAGCTGGGAAGAGGAAAACCAACTTCCCAGTATAGCAAAAGTGTGGAGGAGAATCGGCAATCGGAGAAATACTTCTTGAAAGGAAGCATATTCTTTGTTATTTTAAAAATGAACTGTAGCATTTCAAGACAGAATCATCTTCTTGAACTAAATAATAAAGAAAAAAACATACTACGCATTATCTAGGAACTCCTTTTGTGTTGAGTGTCAAACATTCTTTGTATTTTGAACTTTCTTTTTGACGTGTCCCTTTCTGACAGTAACTGGTTTCCTCTTCTGAGAGGGGAAGACAATAATGAATCTAAAAACCACTTTTGTGATCTACTATGATGACTCTATTTGCTAGAATCTTTTAAAGGAAGAACTGTCACATACAGATTTGTAAAACTTGGATCCATAGCACTAACACAAAATTCTTATTCTTTTATAGCTGGTTCCTGGAGGAGAAGGACCTGAAGTATAAATTTAATACGGTTGTCATCTATGAAGACGTTATGTATAATCTAAATAGAGCTTTTTGGGGGCATGAGGTGTTTTTTTTGTTTGTTTTTTTTTTTTGCATCACTTGACATTTGATAAAAGACAAATATTTCCTCTTCAGGAAAGGTGTGTTGCTAATGCTGACTTTGTAAGTTGAAATCATGACTTTCTTGTAAAGACGTACTAATTTGTTCTGAATAAAAGGCTTTTTTTTGTTAACTATTGTATTTTGTTACCTAAGTGCATGACTGAGAATTATTTTTCAAAATTGTGTCAGTTGCTGTCAGCCTAATTTCTTCTGTATCTGTTGCATTCATTTGTGACACAAGCCTATGTAAAACATAGGTGTTGCTCTTCATTGACGTACAGGCCAAAAAATCACTTGTGTCACCAGAAACTGTGGCAGAATGCTGTACAACTCTGGAAACTTCTGTGAAGTGGATGCATCTATTTGATACCCTGCAGACTTTGGTTTTGCTGGTTTTGAGGTTCGGCAGTCTTGGACCTCCTTGGCTCGGTAGATATTCTTCCTTAAAGGCACTGTAATGGCCTTTGGCAAATAAGAACACACAGGCCAGATTTAATGTTTAGGGAAAAAATGGCTGCTGAAACTTTTTTATTTGTGGCAGTGGAGACTTCATCTTCACCACTAAGTGGTGCTGTCTATGCTTAATTAAACTAGGAGCTGCCCATGCCTGCCTGCATAGTTCAGAGTACTCATTTTAGAGTAAACACAGTCTTGGTTGATTCTGCTCACCTGTGATCTAAACATAGATATATATACAGGGGTAACTACAACTCCATAAGAATTTCTATAAAGTAAGGCAATGATATATTTGTTTTATCACTAGGGTGGGGAACCTGACTAAATACTGTTGAGTGCAGCTTATACTTTCATAATACACTATTCAACTGATTCCTATGTTTAAATCTCTTTGGAGGAGAATTGCTGGTGCCTGCCTGCTGTTGAAGTAGTAAGGTATAACATACGTAGGGTAAAGTATGAACTCCCAGAGGCAGGAAGCACATTGCTTTCCAATCACAAGAAGAGGAAAGAAGAGTTGAAGGTTCAGAATCAGGAGACTGCAAAATCCTTTTGCCTCCTTTTGCTTCATATGACTATAGAACTGCCTTCTGAAAGCTTAAACTTAGCTTCAAATACATTGATAACTTTTTGCATTTTCCTTTTAAGGGGGAAAGAGACTCTCCCTTCCCCTAGGGAACATGCTACATTCACTTGCTCTGAACATGGGTTCAGCTGTTGTCACCAGTGAATCTGGACATTGCAATCTATACTAGTGACTCCATGGTTTTTCATTTCTGTTACCACTTCCTCCAGCTTTTTTAAAATATATATATAAAACATCTTTTAAAAAACAAAATCCCCTTAATTTGATTGGAGTATCATCTGTTAGTTTTGTTATTTCCTAGAGATAAATTAAATATTTTCTTTGGTGCACTTAAAAGATTTCTAGGAGGTGCAGTACTTTTTGAAATAAGTTCTACATATTCCAGTGTATGTACTTCACTCACGATTTTGCAGACATTCCTGAACTGAAGAATATCTTCATGCTTGAGAGAGAAAAAGCAACTTTTCGAAGGGAAGGATAAACTATTTTGTTTCTTTTGGGGATTTTATTCAGACAGCACAAATATTTTACGTTCTCAGGGTTTTATCTTTGGAATAATTTTCTATTGCCTCGATTCCTCCCTTGGTTGTTTGTTCACTCACTTCAGAGGAAGTGATAAGACTTATCTCCTAGGTAGACATCTTCATTGTGACTTGATGTCTGCAGACCACTCTAAAGACAATTTCTTTACTGCTCACATGCTCTTAATGATTTATAATACGAAAAGAAAGATTTGTAATGTCGAGCAGAAAATTCAAAGTATTCCAGACTAGTCTACTTTGCTTTGCATTCAATATTCCTGTAGCCCGTTGTTTAGAAAGAGCAAGTAAGATTTTTCAGTGTGAATAAATGAGTGTTTTTTCTGCACTCATCTAGAAACCTGTTTTTTAATGTGTTGATACTCTATTGTCCTGTAGAAGTTTTGGACACTTGCATTCTCCAGAATGCCAATTATGTTGCCACTGCAAGTCGGTTGTTCAAAAATAATATCTTAGGCTTTAAGAATATGTAAACCTTAATGATGCTTAAAGATTAAATTAAGGAGGGATCATTTGGTTAAAATAAGTTTATGCTTACAACGAGTATAGCTATGGTACCTTTCAGCACTTTTTTCCCATCTTTAAGACAGCACTGGTTGCAGTGATCTTCAATTTTGCTGCATGGTTGTCTTGGTTTTTGCCTTCTATTTTAGTTTAGTTGCAGACATAGTTAAGATAGCGATGGGGAGTTGGAAAGTGGTTATAAATGTATGTATGAACATAAATTAGTCCTAAAGTGCCATCACCACATCTTTCGGTTTTGCTGACATATATTTCAGTGATACCAAGATCTCAAACTGACCTGAATGTTGCCAATGTTCCATGTTTCTCTGTCCTGATTAAACAATAAACATAAAAAGAAATGTAGAAAGAAATTAAAGCCCTAAATGTTTACTGTTTTCCCTGTGGCTATTTGGGATTTCCCCATTTATTTATTTATTTATTTATTTATAGATGCTTTTTTTTTTTTTTTTTTTTTTTACTACATGAAAGTTAAAGAGATTCCTAGCTTACTGGTGGCTTTTGGTGTATGTTTTATCCTCGGGGGAACTGCCCATCACTTCAGCTATAGGCTTCAGAATTCAACTGATGAAAGTTTTGCGTGCCTGTGTTCATATAGTGATGTTAACAAATTATACATTTCCTATTCATAGCTTTATGGATACTTACAGGTTTGCAATAGTCCTTAATAACGCTTCATCTTTTTATTTCTTTAGCAAGAACAAGCAAGTTATTTTTTAAAGTACTTGCAGCTTTTCACCGTCATCAAACTTTAGAGTGGAAAAGCTATATCAAGTACACTGATTTTGCGGTTTTAAAGTATTAAGTTGCCTTAGAGTCTAAAGAAGAATGTGTGACTGTGAGTGAAAGTCTGTGGTGCAGCATTATTAACATTCTAAAAAGAAAAATTTTGAAGAAAGATGCTCAAGGACAATTTCTGATGCTGTTCATTGACAAATTGGCACTGATTTCAGTGGTTAAGGAGACTTGATGTCTGCTCTTGCATGAAATATAAAACTGAAAGATTAATCTGAAGGAAGATTTTTGTATGACTAACCTCATATTGCGTATGAATGACACATACATGTAGGAACACAAAGCTGCCCATTAGGTTTATGAGCCAAAATAGTTTGCAGCAACACAATGGTTTACAGCAATTCAGAAAGTTTAACCTAAATTCCATGGAATTCGGTGTATGTGCTTACATGGTTTGATGAACAAAACTTTGTGTCCTTTTCATATAAAAGTTATTTGTAAGTTAATTTAGAGCTTAGACAAGGCATAGTATTAAAAACCAAATGTATCAATTAATAGAAGAAAATACCTTTTCATAGGGCATCACATGATCTCTCAGACTCAACAAGCATAAATTGACAGATCATTACTAACGACCGGTGTCCCTCCACTCTGTGCCTGGAAAGATTATGGAACAGATCCTCCTGGAGGCAATGTTAAGGCACATCCAAGACGAGGTGATCGGAGACAGCCAGCATGGCTTCACCAAGGACAAATTGTGCCTGACCACTCTGGTGGCCTCCTATGATGGAGTGACTGTCTCAGTTGATAAGGGAAGACAGACTGATGTCATCTATTTGGACTGCTGTAAGGCTTTTGACACGTCCAACATGACACGTTAATCTCTAGATTGGACAGATATGGATTTGAAGGGTGGACAATCCAGTGGATAAGGAATTGGCTTGATGGCTGCACCCAGAGAGTGGGAGTCAATGTCCGGGTGGAGGCCGGTGACGACAAGTGGTGTTTCTCGGGAGTCTGTCTTGGGACGGTTGTTTTTCAATATCTTCATCAGTGACATAGATGATGGGATTGAGTGCACCCTCAGCAAGTTCGCAGATGACACAGAGCTGAGTGGTGCAGTAAATACAACAGAAGGAAGAGGTGCATTCAGAGGGACCTGGACAAGCTGGAGAAGTGGGCCCATGTGAACTGCATGAGGTTCAACAAGTGCAGGGTGCTGCAGCTGGATCAGGGCAGTCCCAGACATGAGGACAGACTGGGAAAAGAACTTACTGAGAAGAGCCCCATGGAAAGTTTGGGGGTTCTGGTGGATGAAAGGCTCAACATTAGCCAGCAGTGTGTGAAGCAGCCCAGAAAGCCAACTGCATCCTGGGCTACATCAACAGAGGTGTGACCAGCAGGTCGAGGGAGGTGATTGTTCACTTCTGCTCTGTCCTTGTGAGGCCCCACCTGGACCTGGAGTACTGTGTCCAGGTCTGGAGCCCCCAGCACAAGAAAGATGTGGACCTGTGAGAATGAGTCCAGTTTCAAGAGCAGGCTCGATGGGGCCTTGGCCAACCTGATCTAGTGGGTGGCATCCCTGCCTATAGCAGGGGGGGTGGAGTTAGGTCATACTTAAGGTCCCTTCCAACCTGATCTGTTCTAAGAAGTAATACAAGGATTGGTTTGTAACTGAGTGTGAGGATTGATTAAAGTTGCTTCTTATTTGCCCAACTTTCTATCTTATATACAAATGAATGGTACAATTGGAGACATTCCAGTTTTACAAGAGAAAATTTAGAAATGTGTTTTTTTGTTTGTTTGTTTTTGTTAGAATTAAAATATGTTTAAGCAAAACCAATATGAAACAATATGAAAAGGTATTTTTTTCTATTAATTGATACATTTGGTTTTTAATACTATGCCTTGTCTATGCTCCAAATTAACTTACAAATAACTTTTATATGAAAAGAAAAGGACACAAAGTTTTGTTCATCAAACCATGTAAGCACATACACTGAATTCCGTGGAATTTAGGTTAAACTTTCTGAATTGCCGTAAACCATTGTGTTGCTGTAAACTATTTTGGCTCATAAACCTAATGGGCAGCTTTGTGTTCCCACATGTATGTATCATTCATATGCAATAGCTTAGAACAAGTTACCAGGCAACTGAACACTTCAGCTATACAGGAGGCACAAGAACCTGGTCTGTTCCTTTCAGTCAGTGGAAAAGTACAGATCCTCCTGTGACCTCAGTTACGCTAACATGAGGATAGGAATATTTTTCTATTCCTCTCACAATGGGAGAA